GAGCGGCTTTGTTGTGCTGGGCTGCTTGTTCGCACCCAAGGTGCACATCATCCTCTTCCAGCCCCAGAAGAACGTGGTCACTCACAGACTCCATCTCAACAGGTTCAGTGTCAGTGGGACCGGGACCACTTACTCTCAGTGTAAGTAACAAAACTGCCACCTTTTTATAAGGATGTGGGGTTGCGGTGTGTTTGGGTAAAGTCAAGAGGGGGTTTATACCAGCAACAAAAAGACCTTTATAGGCTGGGCTGTGTACTGTGTGGAAGCATCACTTCATTTGTGTCTGGAGAGAAAAACTCATCCTCCTCTCATGGGAATCAGCTCAGAGCCTGTTCTGAAGCTCACTAAAGTCAGCAGAAATCTTTTGGCGGGCTCTGACTCCATCCCACTGCACAAAGCAAGTAGAGGCCATCGCTTGCTGTCACTCTCGCAGCAGCAACAGGAACAGATTGCCCTGGAGTATTCCTGTCAAAATGACATGCCAACGGGACCTGGGCCACAATGCAGCATGCTCTCAATGGCTCTTATCACCTGCATTATAAGGAAAGGCTCCAAGTCTGCAGCAAATGCATATGAGGGATGCCATAAACTGTATCTGTATGCTGAGCGTTGAGCAATACCCTTTGCAGGTGCCAAAGCCAGTGCTCTGTTGCAAGGACAGCTCATCTGCTCTGCCTCCCTCCTTTTCCTCATCTTCAGTCTCTTCATCCCAAGCAGATTCACATCTATGATTTTGATTTGAGGCTGTTGCTCCTCTTCTGGGTGAGTTGCTCAGAGAGTTTTTTGGATTTAAAAAAAAATAGGTCACCTGTATGTTTGTGTTTTTTTTTTTTTCCTTGCCAAGCTTAACTAGTCAAGGATGGGAGCACACAGCACCTTGTTCATGGTGCTCTGCAGACAGCATGTCAAACCTGGAAAGCTAATTCAAAAAGCACACTACAACTAGAGAGAGACAAGGAATAAGAAACAGAGGAAAGGGAGGACGCAGCAAGGCTTGACAGCAGGTTCACAATAACCTAGCCTCAGGTTTTTTAGTGTGACCTAAATTTCAAAATTGGCTAGAAATCTTTGGCACTTCAGGTTTCAGACAGAATGTGGAAGGAACTTGGGACCCTGCTGTGTATCATATTGGCAGGGATAAGGAGGTAAAGGGGTCCCAGCCATCTCTGGCTCTCCCACCTATACTTTGCATGAATGGGCCCTTAACAAGAGAGCAGCCATGTGGTTCTACTCGTCCCCAATCTCATCAGTCAGGACTGCATCCAGCCGTGACACCAGAAACCAAAATCTCCTTGCCATTTTGGAAAACTTAAAAGAAGAGAGATGAGATGGCCCTAAGTGTTGAGCACTCCCAAAAGGGCTGGATTTGCAAGACCAATGGATTCCCAATAACCTTTAGAACTTTGGTCCCTTGATGTAGTGGTAAGTCCCATGAGACTGTTTTCATCCTTTATGAACTTTGTATAAGTTGTCTTTCCAAGTTTTTTAGTTCTCTCATACTACAGAATACGTTTAGTCAGACAATTTTGATTCATGGATGCTTTTGTATAGGATTGAATTTTGGAATTTGATATTTTCATTATAATGGCTGGATAATGCATGTGTGTGTGCAAGCATGCATGCAACTGAAAGACATCCTCAGTGCACATCTTTACATTAAAAGCCTACTTTTTCAGGTTTGTGAATAGCTTTAAGACATTAGGGAAACCATAAAAATCCAGGCTCACAATCTCTTGCTGCTTCATTGTTTAGAAAGGTGGCCGCAGTCATTTACTTTTCCTGCTTACACCTAGCTGAATAAGGGCTGCTCATCTTTGTTTGTCTTTTTGGACCATGGCAAGACACGGACCTGGAAGTAGAACTAACAGGTCCATCATATACAATTAGAAAAGCCCTATAGTTTCCTTCTCAGACAATTATTTGGGAAAATAACACTGAGAATTCACTGTCTATCACAGCACCAATATTTCTCAGAAGCAAAATTTTTCCTTACTCCTTTCCATTTATTTGTAAATGATGTTAAATAGATTTTTTCTTTTCAACTGTTTTGTCATTTATAAACCTCCAAAAAAGTTGTCATCCAAATTGATTCTAATCTGTGTCTAAAATATTCCTCTCATCAGTCCCAGGGCTGTCAGCTTGTTTTTATTTTGGTCCCGACAGTGTTTTCATCAGTCAGCAACTGCTTAATATGACACTAATCAAAATTAGCTCCAGGGAATTCTAGTAACAGCGATATCCGAAAAGCCAGTTCTTGTTCATTATCAGAGCTTCAGAGGACAGAACTACACAAGTTACTCGAATGGGCAGTGTGTTTCCTATCTCCACGGATTCCCACCTCCATTGCACCTCAGGGCTGCCACCACCTATTTACTCCACAGTCATTAATGCCATGAGCATAGTGGGTCATGAACAGCCAGTGGCTCACAGACAGTTTTTAACACAGTTCCTTGAACCATGAAAACTGGTCATACACTATGAGAAAATGTAAGTGACACTCATGATGCTCTTCAGTAGTGTTAAGTATTAGCTCTAAATGTGTATTGCAATTACAGCCCTAAACTGAGCAGTGGAGAGAGGACTTGAGTCAATGGTCCACCATATAAGCTGCATTGTGGTAGTGGTCATGAGAGCTAAACAGAGTGCCTCATGCAGTCATCTGAATACAGCTCCTCTTTGCTACATGCTCTGCAGAAAGCAAGTAGAGGTGAATACTTGACTGCTAAGTGAGGAAACTCGTTTTAGAGGCACCAAGCTTTGATCTTTTTGACAGCTCAAGTCTGGACTACAAAAGAATATAGATTTAAGCCAAAGAAAGGCAGGATATATGTGTACCTAGGTATATGACACGTTTTGAAACATACATATGCATATATATTTATTTGAATCTGAAAATTCATGTTTGGCAGAGTGCTGCATAAGTTCTGCTTCCCCTGCAGTGTTTCCCCCTTCGGGTTGTTCCCCAGTTTTCCTGTAGCCTGTTTTATGGGCTTGGCAGAGGTATTCCCATAAAGTAGGAGGTCAGCACTCATAAAACTTCCCAGAGAGCTCAGGACTGATTTAAGCACCCACATGATTCAGGATGAGCTTTTACACCCAGAAGGTGTCATTCATCCAAGTTATGTCCACATGGATAGCAGCACACAGACTTGAGCTCCTCCAGGTGTTCTCCACAGGGGTCAGAAAAAGAATTGAAGCTGGTAAATTTCCTCTCTCAGAATTTATTTTCCCAGCCCTTGCTCCAAACTATCCTTGATATATGGCTTTCATACATGATTAACTCACAGTTGTCTGGCTGTGAGCATGATAGAGGAACTGGCAGACAGAAAGCAAGTTTGAATCTGCCTGTTCCTGACTATGGAGGCATGCTGCAATGTGCCCATGGCGGTACTGGACTCTTGCATTTTACTTCTTGTTCTTTGCCTTGGATTATCAAAGCAAAATGAAGGACTGCCAGGAAAGAGGAGATCAAAAGCATGAATTGCAGCCAAATCAAGACTTCTGGTCATGTCACACATTTTTTCTTGGCCCCCACACAAGGCAAAATAGAGGTGAAGTGTCTCTAGCAGGTCCAGCCATATTTCAGGAAACCCTTTGGCTGCTGCTAAAGGCCACGACGTGAAACTCAGAACCCTGCAGAGCCAGCGATTAACATCGCTGAGGTCTGTAAGCAAAAGCAAGATCTTTCGTTCAGTCTCAGAGAGAGATGGATACTCAGTGTGAACACTTCACTCCACCCAGCAGAGTTAATAACTGCCTCCAAGCACTACAAGAGAGGTATGTGCTGTGGAGGAAGCCTGGGAACTCAAAAGGCAAGACCACTTATTTCTTGCCTACCACCATATTTCTCTGTCCAACTTTGACATCCTCCTGAGCCAGTTACCATAGTATTTGAGCTATTCATGCTCTTGAATGTGTTGGACTTCAAAAAACCCTTGAAGTTAAAAAGTTCTGGGTGGGTGACTGATGTTCAGAGAAACAAAATGCTTTTGCCTGTAGTCATACTGCAGTAGAACAGGGATTTGAATCAGGTCTCCAGATTCAGTACTGATTTTTCTATTTGCCAACAATAAGTAGAAACAAAAATAACAACAACAATAAAAATTTTGGGTCAGTGTGCTGCCTTACTATACCCAGTTAAAACCTGAATACAAAACGTGATAGTTAATTTTCATAAAATCATAGACATGATGCCCTGTGCCCTTTTACCTACAAATGACTGTTTTCAACACATATCCAGGTTGTGAGAGATCAAACTCTATCTACCTAATTCAGAGCAGGGTCTCATTCTTGGCTTGGTTTATCAGGAATATGTCCTGCCCTCTAAGTAGTAGGTTAGTCTAAGAGGTGCCTCTAAATTTCTCTTGTTAAAGCAGTTCTGGTTTCCATTTATATTTATTCAGTCAATGAAAGAACTAGAAATATCTGATTTGAAGAAAGAATGATCTGTTCTGAAAATGAAGCTGAATGTCTTTAGAGAACCAGTCTGCAACTGAGAGTGTAGCCAGCACCAGTTTTGGAAGACTGAGCATGCCCTTGTCAGCTGCATAAATTGCTTTTTACACTGGATGATTGAGTTTACTAAGTCATTGCTTGCCGTGTGTTTTCTTTGATGAAAGCGTCACATTTCTCTTGGGTCACTGTTGTCATTAACCTAATGTATCTTTCAAAAAACAGCTTAATGGTGCTGTGAGCAGAGATGTCACAGAGTATCTGAAAACACATTCCTGATGCCCAATTGATAATTTTAACAAAGACAGACAAACCAGCTTGCTTTTAAATTAAAATCCACAAGGCTTTAGCAAAATGGTAATATATCCTACAGTCAAAATACACATACATTTAGAAACAGATTCTGATACTCAGATTCAATTGTCATCTTTTACCACTGAAGCAATTAAAACCTATTGTATAAAATACTAGGGAATGTAGACAACGGTATCAGAATCTGGCCCTTACCTCTGGATTCATATTGAATCCTGATCCAGAGCTCCTAGAAATGAAGGGTATTATGGCCAGAAAATATTCTGGGATTAGTAAGAAATAATCTTGCTTTCAAATTCAGTTATTCAAAAATTTCTTCACTCCATCCAACATGTACATAGAATTCTTTTTTTTTTTAATTAAAAAGTAGATCAACACACAGTCCTAATATGCAGAGGTGGATTCTCTCCTGGATTTAAAAATGCATATATTTTATTTCAGGAATGTCCATTCCAATTATGTGAAAGCTCAAAGGATCAGCCCTTAGCATTTCTTGCCAATAAAACATGAAAAATCCAAAGGTTCACTTTTTTTTCTACAGGGATATCTTAGCACCACTCTACCTCTATTAATTCACACTACAATGCAAAGTGCTATAAAGTGAGACGCAGTGGCCCAGAATCATCCAAAAAAATTGCATATTTTATTTAGACACTTCTCAGAGAATCTTAGTCACCCTAATCTCTCTCAAAGGTCAGCAAAGAGAAATCAGGTTCCTCCAGAGAGTGCCTCAGCCTCAGATCTGAATTGCCTTGTAGAGGTGCAAGCAGTACTTCCATCAGCTCCACTGCTGACACAGTCACACACAGTGACTTTTCATTGAGCATCTTGGTTAAGTTGGGTGAGATGGTCCAGATCAACATGAGTTCTAATCCTGTGTGTTGTAATTTTTTGCTGCCCTGAAATCAGTTGATTTTCCCCTCTCTTTCTCTTTCAGCATCCGCTAGTATGTACGTACCGACTGTCTGCAATGGAAGGGAGGTTCTGGACTCCACCACTTCATCTCTGTGATTGTGACTTGCAGTTCAGTTCTTGAGTTTTTAGACTGTTAGGCAGAATTTGCACATGTTGTGCACTCCAGAAAACACCAGAAAACAAAAGACATCAAACAAAACTAGTACCTTTTTTTAGAAACAGTGTAATAAATTATTTTTGAGGATTGTACAGTATATAGTGATGTTCTGGAACTTTTTAGACAGATTTTAGCCCTTCTGTTGTTAACGGTTGTAAGGAACATGTAAATAACCATGGTTCACGATGTGCATAGTCCTGCAGTAAGGGAGTGATTTGTTGCAAGCACAGTTGCAATGTTAGATGACTTCTTTCCTACGAAATTTTTTGTAGCTCCTTGTTGTAATTAACTTAGACTGCATTTCTATGTTGTATATTACAGTTACCTTAACGTGTAACAGATTGGTTTTCTCAGCACAAAACAGCAGTATTAATGTAAAGGCATCAATAATAAAAAGATAAAAGTTTTTCAGCATGGTTTCATTTTTGTTTCTTCCTCCCTCAAGATAATTACATTTCTCTAGATGCCAGGATAGGTAAAAAGGATAAAAAGTCTGCAGTACTAGTGTGTGTACACATGTTGTGTGTCGGTCTGTGTCTGTGTTACAAAATACATATCACATAGCATGTGCTTACAATTAATGCTTTGTCAGGGTCAAGTATTAATTCCCTCTCCTTCAGAAAAAATGTAAATTATTAAAGCATCTCAAGTGCTCTTTTTGTTATTAAAATGTAGGGTAATTTTCAAAAGTGAAAATGTCTAATTGTATCTCAATGAGATATTAGCAAAATATTTTTGGTCACTGCTTCACTCATTTGGCGTGAGTTAATGCTGTCATGTACACAATAGATTGGCAGCATATAAAAACCAAAGAGATTTTAGATTAGGTTGGCAGAGAGATGAAAGAAAATCTGTCAGAAAATTAGCTAAGACTGTTTTATACCTCCAGCCAAAACAAAGCTGGCTCAGTTTGTCTGCATCAACAGTGCCATGAAAGGTAACTGGAGCACTGCAGAAACAGAGACCAAAAAAAGTCAAAAAAGAGAAACCCAGGAGACATTCACACACGCATCTAGGGTGACCTTTGCATTCAAACCAAACGATTCAAGAGACATATACCAGCTACTTAGACAATTGCAAAATGTCTTTAAAGTCTGGCTTTATAACTGCATTCTTAAAGTCACCCTTACTCTATTGAAACAATCTGAAATCCTCCCTTCTGCTGGGTCCAAAAAGTCATTAAGGAAACAAACACACCTTTGATTAATGTGTCTGGGCGTATTTACCTAAGGGCTTGTTCCTGTTGATCTCATTCCAGCTGAGGTCAATAGCAAAATTCTCATTGACTCCAAAGGCAACACCGCTGAGGCTTGAAAGGCAGACACTACAGATACATGCTGTTGGATGTACAAGTTCTCTGGAGCCCCATTCTCCTGCACTTGCAGAAGTTTTTACACATTTCTGGAAAGGGGCAAGTCCTTAGGGCTGAACTGGCAAAGGCAGTGGCTGTTATTTTGAATGCAAAAATTAAAGATGCAGGTTCTTAAAATTCCTACTCACAGATAAATGCCTAATTTTTCTGGACATCCACATGTCCATCAGCAAAGACCTCTTGATGTCAACACTTCTGTGACTGGCTACACAGGCAGCCATTTACGCCTCTGCCATCATAGAACTGTCTAGTACAGAAATCCTTGTGACTTTCCCCAAAATAGGCATTGCTCCACCTGCATTACATGCAGAGCTCTGTATTCAGCTTCTTTCTCTCCACAAGCTCTGGAGTGCCTAATGTTTCAGGCTTGGTTCCCACCTTTGATGCATGTCACAGGGGTCAAGTTTTGACAGGTTGGGAGTCCTGCTTTCTAAATCAAGACCCCTTAAAGCATCTCAAGTTGGGCAGCTACATTCATTTGACTTTTGTGTGCTCTTTTGTGGATGAAGAGGTTGTTCATGGTATGGCAAAAGGTCAGGATATCTGACCATAATGCTTATGTCCCTGCATCTACATTACCTTTATGGAGCTCTTAAAAACTCCTAAGCCAATGAGAATTTCTTCTCAATTTTTATGGAAAGCAACAACTGGGGTCAAATCCACCTCACGTAACGTTCATTGTCTACAGTACAAATAGCTACATATGAGATTGTCAACCCCTTCTCCCTTTGTACTCAGTGGAGGGAAATAGGCACAATTCCCCTGGCTTATCTCAGACTGCTACTTTAGGCTGAGACGAAACTCCCCAAATAAAGGCTAGCACAGCTTGCTCAGATCACAAAGTTTGCACTGAAAATAAAAGCATTGTGTCAGATGAATTCCAACCCTAAAATCTAAATTGGCATCACTGAAGCTAATTTATAGGAGGTGAGGATCTTACTGTCCTGGAGTTTTCACTCATTTTGATAGCACTATTGAGAAAATGACCCAATGTCGGTGTCTGAACACGTTATGAATACTTAGGTGGTTTGAAAGCCACTTGCATGTGGGTTTTTCATACAAAAAAAAGCCCCATGTGGAGCTCTGGAATTCCAGCTCCGCTGAATGTTCCCGACATTCTTGTACTTTACTTGGTTTTGTCTTGAAAGCTTTTCACTATTTTCCTTTGGATGTCCAGGGATACAGATTATCTGGTATTGCCTGATGATTCAAGTAATCCAGTTTCAAAACACAGCAAAACAAAAAAGGAAAATGTCGAAGTCTGGCAGAGGCTTTGCACACTATACTGGCATGAAAATATATTGAGAAAGGGATTTTTTTTTTTTCTGTTGTCTCACATCATCATTTTAGTTTCTCTATTTAAAACAGTTTATAGTTTTTGTTCCCATTTGTGTAAAACTTGGCTTTAGAGTATAAATCTCTTCTGGTCTCTTTATTGCTCCCATCATATATAGAGATTTGAGTAATTCAATTCAAAGCACAGTGGGTTCTGTCACAGTTCCTTGCATGGTAGAGGGGAACCCCAAGGACCTTGGCTGTGAGCCTGTTGTCACACTGTGCTGAGCCCTGCACACAGCCAGCCAAGGGGAAATGCTGGGGACGAGAGTAAGGTTTAACCCAGCATCTACGGTGCCTTACTGGAGGCTACAGAAAAATTTAGTTTTTCATTCAAAAGCCATAACTTCAGAGTACCTTAGCTCTCTGATACAAACCAAGAGTGCAGAAAGGTCTGTGAAAAACTGATCACTTTTCATTTATTGGCTGAGCAGAAAAATAAGGCTCAAAAAAATCATCACAAGTCAATCTGAAGTAAACAAGGTTTGGGGTTTGGGTTTGGCTTTTTTTTTTGTCTTTGTTCTTGGCTTTGGTTTGGGTTTTTTTGTAGGAGAGGTGTTTCTTTTTTAAGTCTTGAGTGAAGTTTTGAAAGCAAAACCAAAATCTACTGTTGTAAAACAAAATATTTTATTTTGCTTTCAAGTGATTGTTTTTCCTGAATTAATTGAACACAACAGGTTTCAGTCATAGCCAAAGAAATTTCAAAAGGCATTGTCTTTTCAAATTGAAAAATGATCAAAACCTATTTAAAAAATACCATGTTCTACCTGAACAAAGCAAATCTCAAAAATTAGCAAAAAATGTCCAAAATATCTATCAAAACTATTTAAACCTATTTAAAACCTATTTAAAAAATATCAAAACCTATTTAAAAAATACCATGTTCTACCTGAACAAAGCAAATCTCAAAAATTAGCAAAAAATGTCCAAAATATCCTGGCTCCACCCAGAAATCTCAGCTCTGGTTAAAGAGCTTTCCACTGCAATCCTTCACCCAATTAGTACACTTAGAGTAAGGGAAACCAAAACAAACCCTTAACTCATCACCAAACACAGTCTGATGTCCATGAAGTCATTGCCTACTCATTAATGCTTGCAGTCTGCAAGATGAAAGGCAGAAGCTATTTATTCAGAGCCACCTCAAAGCTTCTCAGCAACACAGACAAAGCTGAGTTTTGTCACTCCAAGAAGAAAAGAAGCCAAGACCAGGCTGGGCTGTTTTTGCAACAGGAAGGGGATGGGTAGGAAGCAAAGGCTGGGGGGAGACCTGGAGTGCCTATCTTCTCACTTCTCTTGCCTGTAACGAAACGGCAGGGTCAGGAAGGGGCTCCTCTCTCCCCAGCACTGCCACTTCGCTACATGCACCAGCCCTTCCCTTAGAGGCAACAAGGGCAAGCCAGATAACGACCTTACCACTGCCTACAACTAGCTGGAAAACAGAGCATGTTACCCCTAAAGAGAGTGCCTTTCTAATACATTGCCATTAAATATGGAAGGAGGCAAGGACATGAATGGGCTGTATATAACACCAAAACTCTCAGAGGTCACTCTTGCATGTCTTTTAGTCAAGTAAACACACATCCACAGAACCTCGCTTTGGCCTTTAGGTGCTGTTAGAGCACCAGCTTCAAAGTACATGGGACCTTAGAGTTTTCTTTTGATGGGGGTCCAACTCTATACATCCAGAACACTAAACACAGTGGCAGCTTATGATCAACTCAATTCTCATGTCTCCCTTGTTCCTGCTGTGTGTATTCAGTGTGGGCACATCCATCCAGGTGACTGGGGATGTCAGCATACATTGTGACACGCACTATGTATTTTAGGATGAGCTTGACCTCCTGTTATTTCTATTCCCATCCCCTTACGTGCTTGCCAAAGAAGCACAGTTCACAAGCATTCAAAAGCAGCAAAAATTAAAAACAAGGGGATACAGTGAAAGAAGTATACAAGGGGAAAGACTAAGAGAGAACACCACCAAAGATAAGCAGAACTTCCCAAGATTGCTCTTGAGGTTATCATTCCCTGTTACATTACCTAGAATGGCTATTTAAGACCTCCATGCTTCATGATATGGACCAACCAGCAGCATTCCTTGCTTAGGAAGAAATGTCATCCCCACTGGTGTGTCAGCACCAATTGTAGCTGCTTTCACTCTTACATTGAAGCATTTGTGTTGGCCACTGCTGGAGATGAGTCAACCACTGGCTCCTAAATGGCAACATCTGCTCCTATCTTGTCTGACTACAATTAAGTATCTCGATTTTATGGGTACTACTGGCTCTGGCAGGACAGACAAACCAAAAACTGCAAACTTTCCCCTTTACTAACGAAGAGTCCCAGAACCTCTTTTTCAAGAGGAAATAGTCAAATCCTTTCTTTGAACAAAGATGACAGCTCCTTGAAGCTACTCAGTAACTTCCCATCGTGCCTTTAAGACACTTAATTTTCCTCAAACCTAGACTCTTAATCAATCATATTATATACTACAAACATCAACCAACATAATCAGAGCCAAGACAGAATACATTCTTTGCACATTTCCCCCCTAGCAAGCACTGTCAAAGCTGAGACAATAACATTCTGCTAATTTGCCAGCAATTTATATACACACACCACTAAAATGTGCTTAATCCTCAAAGAGATTCAGTTGCTTGACTCCAGATTTCAAAGAAAAGCATGCAAATGCAGCAATAAAATGCATTCC